TGATTCATACGATCTCGCTATCGATTTTGTTATACAATCTGACCCATAGGTCTATTGATTCATACGATCTCGCTATCGATTTTGTTATACCATCTGACCCATAGGTCTATTGATTCATACGATCTCGCTATCGATTTTGTTATACCATCTAACCCATAGGTCTATTGATTCATACGATCTCGCTATCGATTTTGTTATACAATCTGACCCATAGGTCTATCGATTCATACGATCTCGCTATCAAGAGAGTTGTTATTATAACTCGTCGATCTACTGACAGTCATCGTCGTGATCCAAATTTTAATAATAAATTCCAGACTATCTCTCTCTCGCACTCTCTTCACTTTGTGTATCCTGTGGAGATTGAATTTGATTGGTGACACACTCACTATACCGAGGATTTCATGATCTCACCAGAAATTCAGTTCAGAAAATAAGAACACTAAGATTGACTATTATCTTCGTGATGACTAGTTTGCGATATCAGCATCCACTGGAAGCAAACGTTAACTTGTCATCTACCAACAACTACCTAGTCTGTAATATCAGCATCCACTGGAAGCAAACGTTAACTTGTCATCTACCAACAACTACCTAGTCTGTGATATCAGTATCCACTGGAAGCGAACGTTAACTTGTCTTCTACCAACAACTACCTAGTCTGTGATATCAGCATCCGCTGGAAGCGAACGTTAACTTGTCCTCTACCAACAACTACCTAGTCTGTGATATCAGCATCCGCTGGAAGCGAACGTTAACTTGTCATCTACCAACAACTACCTAGTCTGTGATATCAACATCCGCTGGAAGCGAACGTTAACTTGTCTTCTACCAACAACTACCTAGTCTGTGATATCAGTATCCCCTGGAAGCGAACGTTAACTTGTCTTCTACCAACAACTACCTAGTCTGTGATATCAGCATCCGCTGGAAGCGAACGTTAACTTGTCTTCTACCAACAACTACCTAGTCTGTGATATCAGCATCCACTGGAAGCGAACGTTAACTTGTCATCTACCAACAACTACCTAGTCTGTGATATCAGCATCCGCTGGAAGCGAACGTTAACTTGTCTTCTACCAACAACTACCTAGTCTGTGATATCAGCATCCA